AGTGGTTATTCTTTCTCTAGATAAACGTTTGTGACAATTTTAAAATTAAATAAAGCATGCTATATCGACCCCAGGCTGTCTTCTCTCACCTTGATCACTGTCTAATTGACAGCAGTCTACGTCCGGTAGTAATAACAGAAGGATGTAGCTTTGTGTATTGTTACCTATTCAGGATATTTTATTGGTTGGATTCAGGCTGAATGACCCGTTAAATTTGAACATGAATCGTTGTGTATTCAGTGAATATGCAGTATACCGATGAATATCTACGACGATGAAACAACCGCGAATTTCAGTGCCATATATCATATACTTCAAGTTGGATAATTGTCTAACCAAAGCTCACGAATAAGTCCCTTTTGTTTCTGGCTAATTAACACTGAGATCGTAGTAACACCTAAGACCAATGTGAAATTGACCGAGGCAATAAATTGGAAAATTCCCTATTGGTTTGGGCACCAGCTCAATCGATAAACCTAAAACCCATCCGACAAAAGGTCGAAGGACATTCTCCGGGAACTCACATTTGAATCTGTGTTCAAACAGTCGCGTAACTCATCAGATGAACAATCAACAATGAAAGGTTATCATGCATGTAAGATAATCGATATTTGCAGGTGGATATAAAGCGACGTTACTAAGTGGATAAGACTGGATTTCGGAATGGATGTAATGAGTCTAATTTTCTTTCAAAAGTTCATTGTTGTTTTCAATGGTCTCACGCCATTATCCTCAGCCATGTTCATGCATTCATATGAGAAGTCTTTCTGAACGATAACAGGGAACAGCGGCAAGACAGGGAAACAAAATGAACCCGGAAACCGTCATTCTTGTTGATTTGGTGAATGAAAACAGTCACTTAAAACCAGAATTCATGTTTAGGTTCTCCCATAGCATAATGCGACCCCCCTTTAAGACAGTGCGCTCACATACACACAAACACACACTATACCTTTTTCAGTTTAATATGTCCGAAATCCAACTTAAGATTTCCTAATATGAATTTAGGATGTCCGAGTAACTGTTTAAGATGTCATGTTGCTATGTTTCCACCCTGTATTGTGCAAGGTACTATCCACATAGCAACATGATATCTTAAATTGGATTTCGGACATCTTAAACTGAAAAGGGTATAGAAACAAGCTCTTTGCCAACCTTAGCCCCGAACTGATCGCCGGCATTTCCGACACACCAGCAAACACTTATTTCACACAGCCGAAACAAGCATACATTTATCCATTTGACTCACAGTGCACACACACCGGTGGCATATTCGTCGAGAGTGGAAATCTGTACGCACTAATAAAACAAACATTACATTTTTTATAATTTTTTATGTCGATTGTGAAAAGTTCATTAACCTCGGTGGGATTCGAACCCATACATGGACGCCGCTTACGCTCTCTCTGTACAGCGCACGCGCTACCATCTGAGCCACGAAACAACACCGATGGCACTAATATTTTCACATTCAAATTACCCATCCAACTTACGGAGACATATGGCATCCACCAGTTAGCATGTAAGATGACTGCCCTTACAGGTTTTCCTTAGAATTCACTGGATTCCTCGCGACGTCTATGCGTGGGTTTGAATCCCACCGAGGCTAGCGAACTGTTCACAATCGACATAAACTTAAAATCCAGCATAATGACGAATCACTAAATGTCAATGCTCACCATCGGACTAGTTTTCCAATGATAAACACATGGACATTGAAACCCCTTATTGGGGTAAGTAAACGCAATGGCACAGACGGAACGAGTGCGTAACATTCCCCCGCGATCACGGTAGCAGCCCTACAGTGCCAGATCAAAACATACCACTCGTCTCGTTGTTCACTGAGGTCCGGTGTGTGATGCCCCGGCAAATCACCAAGTTCTGCCCCCGGAATACTAGCTATTTTGGCTGACTCAGATTTGACCGTTCGGTAAGCAGCAATGTGAATGGACGATCCAGGTAATCAATCTACGTGATACTGCGGATGCAATAAAAAAAGGTTAAATACCTTGAGAGATTTTATTGTGACATTAAAAATCACGTAAATTCAAACGGTGTTAGAAGTGAACCAAGAACATTGCTATGGAAACTGAATTTCGAAACAAATACTACTCATCCATGACTGTCGTTGTACCCGTGTAATATTGGAAACTGAGATGTATTTCCAAAATTAGATTGATTAATATCTATATATGTAGTAATTCAATTTGAAATGGTAAACTAGTTATATGAAAGAATATGCGAAACACCCTTTCCCTTTTATTCACTTCTTCAACACGATGAAAGTATATGTCGATCGAACTGATATTTAGCATTATTTTCGCGTGCTCTCATTCAGCTCTGAACGGGCATTTATACGGTCGCACAAAACAAACTCAAATCACCCAACTCACTTGTTACAAATTTGTTCAAATGACTGATCTATACTCCTATGCATCTTTGTTTGACAGGATCGTTTCATTGAGCGTATACAAGTGAATGAGAGCACGCAACCTTGATGGACAATGTGAATTCTTCCCAAATATGCCTTGTTTGTGTTGATGAGAAATTGTATAATTGACAGCGGGGTAAATGAAATCTAACCGGCAATAGTACCCAGCCAGGTGAATACAGCGACATAGGAAGAGATTTACGTTGCTTAATTTACGTTGCTCACATCGTGAGTTCAATAAGGACCAGATAAAATATCCCTGGATACGCACACCTAAAGAGTAGTAAGGACCATGAAACCGGTTGTGTGCTTCAGAAGAAATCTGGTCCAGTCATGGATATGCCACTCATTATAAAAACATAGGGACCTTACTTTCCAATGCACCTCTCTCTTAGTTAGTTTACGATGAAGATGATTCTTTAAACAATTACCACAACAAGTAGGAACAAGTATGAATCTCGCCTTTAAATCTATTTGTTACCATATCCCATGAACATATATAATGTCCAATTGTAATTCGCATGAAGTAACTGATGATATGCGAAAGAAATGTCGCTGCAGCAGACATCTTGCATAACACTACTCGCCATTTTCAAATTCATTCGGGGAAATCATTGTTTCAAATTGCCACTGGGACACCCGTTCACACATTTATTATCCTGACAACCCTAGTCCATATGCATTCTCTTTATCCTCCCTTTGGCTCTATTTGCCACCTTCCCTCCTTCTTTCTGCCCTTTTATCCAGAGAGAAGTCATGAGACAGCAACCCTATCTGGTGAACGAAAATTCATGGTTAATGGTTGACAAAACTTATCTGTATTTATCTTGTTCACCATTCCAAAACCCTGGTTCCCATGTGTGAACAGTGAACTGATCCTTGTAACTATAGGTTTACCTTTTCCATGATTCATCACCCGATGGTGTGTAACAAATACTACTGTTATAGTTCCAGAAGACCGGTGCTGGCTAGAAGAGAGTAGCTCATTCCGAACAAGAGCTAGGTTATGGATAATTTGGCGAGCAAATAACAAACTATCTA